TTTCCTGAGTAGGTATTCAAACTGTGTTTCAGTTCAGTTTGTGCAACTGCTTACTTCAGTTAGCGCATTTCCTCTCTATACTGCTAAAGTCCTACAATAAGCCTTGGTAACTCGTTCAGCACTTTATTTTCATTATAACTGTTTGTAACCTTAGCCAAGATATGACTCCAAATTAAGGCTTTTATGGTTTTGGATTTCTGAGATAGTCTTATTATGTTGCCTAGGCTGGCCTTGAACTCAGAGTCCTCCTGCCTCAGCCTCTGGATGCCATGATAACAAGTATGCGCCTAGCTTGAAATTGGAACTATAATAACATTTAAATCTTGTTGTACATATATGTATATATATATTTCAATGTAGTTAAGTTTAAAACTCTGAAGGGGATAAATGAAACATTCAAGGAATCCTAGCTTAATTATACCAATTTCAAAATATTTGGCTGTGTAACAACCCTTTTTAAAAGTGACTGCTGTGTGTTTGTGTGTGTGGCTGCACGTGTGTGCATAGAGAGGCCCAAAGCTGATGGTAGGGATCTCCCTCATTCACTTTCCACTTTATTGAGACAAAGTCTCTCAATAAACCCGAACTTGCCAGTTGTGGCTCATCTAGGTAGCCAATTTGTTTTGGGGTTCTCTGTCTCTCTGCCTCCTGAGTGCTGGGGTTAGAGGCAGCTACCATGCCTGCCCACCATTTTTGTGGGTCTGGGGGATCCAGACTCTGGTCCCCATTCTTATGCTGTAAGCACTTTGCCCACTGAGCATCTCCATATCCCACAACCCCCTTTTAAAATCAGTGACTTTTTAAAGCACTCTTTTTCTTACTCATAATCATTTAAAATGAGTACTTAGTGAAATTTAAATTCCATTATACTGAATTTGTTCTTGTTCTGGGCTGCCATGGCTTCTTGTCTCTAAAGTTACACATTACTTCCTTTGGAGCCCGGATCTTCTCAATCGTTCAGTTGTATTGCAAAAGAGAAGTATTTTCCTAGGTATTTAGTACCATGCCCTCTCCCTGCCCCTTCTGTTCCCTTCCTCTCCCCTCTCCCTAATCATGCTGCTTAAAATGTTCTGCATTCAAAGTGCTAATGTGATGTCTAGTGTGTTCCTAAGGAAAAGAAGTTTATTACATACCTTAAGAAAATGTACATTAAATTTGCACCGTTCATAAATAAGGTGTAGTGCTGTTTGCTGTGAATTAATTATTAACACTCATGAATATATATTAAATAAAATGACCTTAAAAGAAACAGAGGCTGTAAAATTATGTATTTGTCAGGTGACTAAAATGTGCCCACAAGCTCTAAAATCCTAAGGCTAGTCATGTAAAAGGAGTAGATTTTCATTATTACCTTAAATTCTTATGCTTCAGACAGTCAGCGCCTGCAGCTGGATCTACAGAAAATGGAACTTCTGGAAAGTAAGATGACAGAGGAGCAACAGTCTCTGAAAAGCAAAATTAAGCAAATGACTGCTGACCTGGAGACATACAGTGACCTGGCAGCGTTAAAATCATCAGCCGAAGAAAAGAAGAAGGTAGATGCTCCACAGAATCTTTGAAGATTATCATCCAAATAATGTCTTCTTTTCCTTCTTTTCTATCTTTCTCCTCCCTCCCCTTTCTTTCTTACTTAAGACAGACTCTCAAGTATCTCAGGTAGGCCTCAAACGTGCTCTGTAGTAATGGTGGCCTTGAACTTTCTGATCTTTCTGCCTCTTCTCTAAATCCGAGGATTATAAGAGTGTGCTACTATGCATGGTTTACTTGGGACAAAAACCAGGGCCTCACATGCTAGGTAAGCACTCTACCAAGTGAGCTTCAGATCCAGCCCCTAGCGGTTTTTCTGGATTGACATTAATTCATATGTGCTTTATAGGATTTACTACTTTTAGTATATTATTTGACATACAAACTAAGAAGAAGTAATAAAATTTGTTATATGTATCGTAATCTAGAGAAACCTAGAGGTTTTAAAAGAAGGTAAAAATTAAAAAACCAAGTATAAGTTGCTCCCTACTACAGAGCATTCCAACCTATAACCTTTGCTGAGTGCAGATTTGGACTATGTTTGGATTATAGGTCTCCACTTTAGACTCATCAGTGTCTCTTCATTGCCATTTGCCTTAATTTAAAGTAAATCTTTGGGTGTCAGGATAGATATGAAAGCATTTATTGAGTTACTAACGCAGTTACTATTCACATAGCTTATTATTCAAAAGGTATTTTTGTAAATAAGTCTTAAAGTAATTATAACTGGTGGAATTTTACAGAATAAACCACTACATTTCTAAGCCAAATGTGATTTTTTTGTTGTTGTTTTTTTTAATTTTATTTTTATTTATTTATTTATTTTTTTGAGACAGAGTTTCTCTGTGTATCTTTGGAGCCTGTCCTGGAACTCACCTTGTAGACCAGGCTGGCTTCAAACTCACAGAGATCCGCCTGCCTCTGCCTCCTGAGTGCTGGGATTAAAGGTGAGCACCACCGCCCAGTTCCAATTGTGATTTCTATGTTGGCTTTCTAGACATTTGCTATAGCTTCTATGTGTTACTATTTGGATCTCTCTAGAAACTGCATCAAGAAAGAACAGTATTATCAACCCACAGAAATGCCTTTAAGAAGACCATGGAGAAGCTGACAACAGATTATGAGACACTGAAAACACAACTACAGGAAAATGAGACGCACGCTCAGGTGAGAACACGCAAGCTGTTCTGTCTTGTTCTTAGTCTGTGTTTTCATTCCACACTGCTTTGCTCCTGTTCTTGTTTCATTTTGGTTTTAGACCTGCCTTATAAGCCTTCTGGATTTTTTTTTACTTTGAAACAGTGAGATTCTGTACTATTCTCTCTTTAGTATGAATTAATTTCTGCCTTATTCCTTCAGTAAGCCTGTATGAAAGGCCAGTTTTACAACATGTGCTCTCCAGGGCATGGCCATTACATCACTCTGGGTGAGTGCTTTAGGTGGCGCACGCCTTTAATCCCAGCACTCGGGAGGCAGAGGCAGGCGGTTCTCTGTGAGTTCGAGGCCAGCCTGGGCTACCAAGTGAGTTCCAGGAAAGGCGCCAAAGCTACACAGAGAAACCCTGTCTCGAAAAACAAAAAAAACAACAAAAAAAATTTATCAAAACTAAAGAGAAACTTCTGTTGAAATGCCATAAAAACTACAAATAACATAAAAACCAATGACAGATTTTTTTTGTCTTTTTTTTCAAGACAGGGTTTCTCTAGCCGTCCTGAATCTTGCTCTGTAGATTAGGCTGGCCTTGAACTCACAGAGATCCACCTGCCTCTGCCTTCCAAGTGCTGGGATTAAAGGCGTGTACCACCACACCCAACTTTATTGTCATTTTGAAATGAGTAAAACACATGTACAAGGCACCCACGTACACAATTTTATGTGTATACACATATATGTATATACACACATTTCCTGTGTGTTTAGCTGGGACCGTTTGTTGTTGTTCCCATTTATTTTTATTCTTTGATACTTTCATACATGTCTGTCTGAAGCTTACACACTCTTCCTCCTGCCCTGCTGAAACCCTTCTCCCTAACAGTCCCTGTCCTACTTTGGTGTGTTTTTATACACACTGACCTTAAGATTGCTTGTGTCGGGGTGTTGTGGGTGTCATTTATTACAGCATGGGCAACTTATTTTTTCTATTGAAGATAAATTTTTTTCATACAATAAATTCTGATTATGATTTCCCCCGTCATCTCCTCCCAGATCCCTGCTACTTCCCCACTCACTCAGTTCTGCACCTTCTTTTTCTCTTTCTGTTTAGAAAACAAGCAGGCAAGTCAAATAAACAAACAAACCAGAATTTTAAAAAAACATGAAAAAAAAAAACAAAGATAAAGCATGGGAAACACATGCTTGAATGCACGCGTGTGCATACACACACACACACACACACACACACACACACACACACACAACCCATAAATCACAAAATTGGAAACTGTTATATATAAGCAAAAGACCAATAAGATAGAAAATATCCAAATAAAGCATTATGAGACAAAAACTCTCCAAAAATATTGAGTTTGTTTAGTTTGGACCATCTACTTTGGACCTGCCATTAAGTGTGGTTTGTATACCCAGCAAGATTGTTTTGGAAAAAAACTAATTTTTCCTTGGCAAGCTGTTGACATTTGGAAATAACTTCTGGGTCAGGAATGGGGGGGCTCATGTCTACTTTCTCTTTCTGTGCTGAGACTTTGTCTGTTTTGAACCTGTGCAGATCCTGTACATGCTGCCACAGTCTCTGTGAGTTCATATTAGCATTGGTCCTGTTATATCTGGAAGATACTGTTGCCTTGGTGTCTTTCATCCCCACTGGCTCTTAAAATCTTTACGCCTCCTCTTGTAGCTTCTCTGCATTTACATTCTTTCCACTCTTTTCACAATATTCTCTGAGCCCTGTGGGGGATGGATTGAGGCTTGTGATATAGTTGTCCTCCTAGGGCTGAGCATGTTCCAGTCACTTATGTTCCTTACTTTGTCTATTTGTAAGTCTTTGCATTAACTGCAGCCCCAGTGCAAAAAGAAGCCTTTCTGATAAAGGCTGAGAACAGCAGTAAACTCAGAGTACAACTGGCATCTGTTTGTCTATCTGTCCAGCTACTTTGTATGTGTATGTGTGTATGCATGTCACTGTGTGTGTTTGGAGATCGTATATAATATACTACTACATGATAAAGCATAGGTTACAGAACCAATCTCTTATTGGACATTTAGGTAATTTCTAGTCTTAAACTGTTCTAATAATACTATTGTGGGAGGCCAGCTCCTACCTTTTCAAGGGTTCGTAGAGGAGAAGAGAGGGATAAGAAAATATTAGATAGGAAGATGGCGAAGAGGAGAAAGATAGAAACATAGGATAGCTTCAGGAGGACCTGGGTCAATACCCAATGGCCTTTTCTGTTTATTCAAAAGGGCTTTTTATAAAAATGCCAAGGGGTGGGGCAAAAGACCTCCTCCTTGCTAGATCAAAGCACACTGCACAGCCAAGTGTAGACCCTTCCAAACACCTGGTAACCGTGCCCATGGTCAAATCATTCCCATATGCAGCCCTGGTGGATAAAGCAAGCTCAGATTCTCTGACCCTGAGGAGTTTGGGCCTCCACAAATTCCCCCTTCTTAATAATATAAATCTCAACTGGGAGTACAGAACTTAATTCTATTCAGCTCTGAATCAGCTTTTCCACTAAGAGCTTGCAAATAGCTGGAATGATTAAAGCAATACTCCTGCTTCTTATAGCTGCTATGCCTTCTAGTAAAGGAGTAGAGGATGATAAAGATGGAATGCTCTTTTTGAATGGGGCTAAGATGTCTATAGCAGTCTTAGCTGTACCAAGCCCTTTTTTTAAGGCAACCGCATCAGATAAATCTGTAAATTCCTGATGCAGCTGCATCCAACTTAAAGACTCCCTTAGTTTCACCAAACCATGATTCATTAATATCAACAGGTTAACATCATTCTAGCATGAGTATTACTATACACATTTACAGTTATTGCAAACATATCCAAAAGCCAACTCTCAATAGGACTATTTACACTTTACAAGCTTTAGCAAACATCTAAACGCAATCTCTCAATAGAACTATTTATACTTTTTGCTAACAAAATATAGGGTATATTAACACAAATTAACATCAGTCCACTCAAAGGACAAGAAAAAAATTTTTTTTTAAATTAAAGAGACTGAGGACTATTAACTCCCCCTTTTCTTTATAATTTTTTTAGGCTGCGAGCCTGGTTAGAAAAAAAAAACAAAAACCCAAACTTCTCCATTTAAATAGTTCCATTTTTAAAACAAAACAGTTCATGAGTCATCACAGTTAATAAAGCATATATGCATATACAAAACAATCCATAAGTCATTTAATTGATAGAATTTATAGGTGAAATCAAAATTGTCCCATTTCTGAGGTTTGCAAAAGTTCAAAAAATCAGTTCTAATAACAGTCTTGAAGTTCAACTCACAGCCCAAGATGTCAGCCATCCTGAAGTCTTTGTATAACAGTCCAAGTCGTAATAACTCTTAGGCAAACAGTTCCATATATGAGGAGTCCCATTACCCAGATTAATTGCAGCTCCCCATGCAACAACTCAGCTCAGTTCAAACAAGTGTCTTTGATAGTCGTTCTCAGTTACAGCAGCATTTTATGGCAGTATTCCCCTAGGAACCTTGCCCTAGGAAAAAGCTGTTAGCTCCACAATAGCTTGGTGGTACAGAGTCTTTTCAAAAGAGACTTACAGCCAGCAAACAGAAACTGCACCTTTGGCTCCTGGCTTTCACAGCTTTCACAGTCCTGGTCTGTCTGTGCCTCCTGCAACCGGCCCTAGGACTCTCAATTGCTTCATACTGCCTGGGCTCAAGGGGCCACCCCTGCTGCTACCAACTATGGCAGGAAAGTAGGATATACAGTATGAAAAAAAGATAAAAAGTCCTGAGGCAAAAAAAAAAAGATGAATAGAAACAGATTAAATTAAGTTAAAAGAGCTAGTGGGAGAAGCCTAAGCTAAGCCTCAGCATTCATAATTAATAAGTCTCTGTGTGTTTATTTGGAAGCTGGCTGTTAGCCCAAAGAAAATTACAACAACAGTTCTGTCTAATCAGGCTGTGAGTTACAATTCTAAATGCATGAAATTTCCTGATTTATGTAGTAGTATGATCAAGATACAAAAACCAAAATCAGGTCATGTTATTCCCTTTTACCCAGAAATGACCATTTCTAACACATTGGTATATATGGGCTTGGAGACATATGCCTTTTTGCATCAGTTCATCACATCATATTCTTATAAAAGTGAAATAATTCCATTAAAAACAGTATTTAAACATTTCTTTTAAAAATTTAACCTCTTTTAAAATGTCTCTCCTAGCTATCGCAGTGTGTGGATGTACTATTTAAATAGATACTTTATTTATTTCTACTAAAAGAAATAGAATCTTACAAGAGTTTGCAGTAACTATTAAAGGTTAGAAATCGCTCATTTATGTATCTGCTTTCCCTGTCAGTCTGTTTCTACTTCATAATATAAAAGCCTAAAGATGGATTTGTAATTGACAGTATAAAAATTTGCTGAGTGGGGATGAGTGCTAGAGAAAAATGTAAGAAAGTTTTGTAAATACATTATGTTGTCTGAAATGGTTCGCTGGGAAAAAGACTTGCCTTTTTTTTTTTTTTTAAACTGTTGGCGTTCCTCTTCCATTACATAGATGATGTAAGGCACTGGGCAGACACCGTTAGTTGCTTTTTTTTCCAAATCGTAATATGAGCCACAATTTTAAATATATCTCTATAGTTTTGTATTTTGTCAATCTTGACTAATTAAATAAAACCCTTGTCTCTAAATCTTTTATAACTGTTTTCTTAAAAAGTGTTTTTGTATTTATAAGTAATTTCTTATATATTATTTGAATAAGTTATAGAGAGAAAACAAGATTGGCATTTACTTTAATGGTAAGTGTCAAGGCAAGTCAGTAATGTGGATGTAAAAGGAATTTGATATGGTGTGGTCCTTATATCACTTGTATAGCACTTAGAAGGTCTGTTGCCATGTAAGAACAAAAAGGAACATGTCTGGTACTTGACTTTTTAAAAGGTTATTAAAGATTTATTGCCAGAATGTGCTGACTGCTTCCTTAAGGGCCATCCTAATTTTCAGGTCTTATTTACGACAGCTAGACCTGATTTAATAAGTCCTAGCTCAAGGACCACATATTTTACACAGTTAACCATGATTTCATCCTACTATCTAAATTTATCTCTCTGGAGGAAACAATAGGATAGATATGTGTGTCCTGAAAATAATTTTTACACGAGAATTAGAAGAAACATTTTTCTTGTTTCTTCATATTTCTTTGAAATGTCCATTACTTCTTTGAAATGTCCAGAGAGAATATTATTTTAGTGTTCAGTTTTCAGGCAGTCCTTTGCTTAGGGAAAATGATGTGTATCCTAAAAAAGAAAAGCTATAACCTAGAGTTACAAGGTTAATTAAATCAGAAAAACAATTTATTCTATAACAGTGAAATTGTCTTCTGAGGAAGCAACCATCAATATAATATCCACATTCGTTTCCTGTTGATGCAGAAATTACTGTAGCAGTGCCAGCTTTTCACAGACTTGCTTACAATCTTCTCAGTGCAGCTCTGCTCTTATCGGAGCCTGTGAAACGAGACAGGAAACTTCGTTCTGGAAATAAGGAAGTTTTTCCTATATGGCTGAACCTTTGACAGTACTAGAATATATATTACCTTCATGGCAGTAGACTTCCAGAATTCAAGGAGATTACCATCATGTCACATTTTTCTAAGTTATTTTACAAAAAGTCATAAACTAACTTTCAGTGTTTATTGGCCTAATAAACATTTTTACTGTTTTTAATTGAAATAAATGTAGCAAAACCTTTTGTAGAATTTAGCATTGTCCTAAATATAGCTATTGTATGATCTAATTTAATCTAAGTTTCTTCTCTGGTAACTTTCACTTTATTTAATAGAATGCAAGAAATTGGTATGATTTAAAATCAAGTATTATTTTTCATAACCTCTCAAAAGAATGTGTAATGATTTTGAATATGGAATCAGTTAACATTCACCTTTTGTGTTTCCAGCTTACAAATTTGGAGAGGAAGTGGCAGCACCTTGAGCAAAATAATTTCGTGATGAAAGAGTGTATCCTTTAAACTGGTTTAATATGTCCTTACAAATACTTGATATGTACAAAACTCTGAACTAATTATTTGGGGGCTGTCATAAAGACTAGCATCACTTTCTGCTCTATAGTAGTTAGAAGGTCTTTACTCAGAGTATTTATGAGAAAACTTATTTGGGCAATTACCCAGAGAGAAGTATGAAGTCATCATATAGGCTAGTGGTTAAAGGCATACATTAGAGTTGGATGATCAAATTTTGAGTGTTGATTCTGTCATTGGTAAGCTTCAGTCTTTAGACAGTTCTCTTGATCTGTTTTAAGCCTTAATTTTATCATCTTTAAAACAGTTTGGACTCATAGAGTTCAGATATAGGTGTTAGTTGTTTATAATGCTAAAACTTGGCTATATGAACAGCAGAGAGTAACCAGTCAGGATCATAAGAAATTTGACCTGAGTATATTCGTGTTATACTTGATTCAACTGTGTCTTTTTCTACCAAGATGATACTTATATTTTATCTTTCATGTCATTCTATCTAAGAGGCAGCAGTTGCTGAGGGCATGCATTGTGAAATCACAACAAACATCCCTCCAGAATGTATTTCCTGTTACCTTTGACTTATTCAAGAGCATCTGCCTTCAAAACAAAATCCTGACTCAGTGGTCCATAGGCATTCTTTTAGGGTATTACTGCACTTTGCCTCAGGGGCAGCAAGCACCTCAGCTTACTTCCAGTTAGGATGCCATAGAAACTGTTCATACTATTTCAAACAACTCAGCTTAGAAGGCATACTTTGGTATTCATGGGATATTTAAAAGCCTAGCATTCCAGTTTTATGCAACATAAATCCATATGACTCTGAAACAGTGAAGTCTAAGAGACTTGCCTGAAATTCTGTGTGATATTACAGAGAATAGAGTTTTTCCAAATGCTTCATTGTTCTAGGAGTAGAATTAGATTGAGCAACCTGACATTAAAAAATTAGAAGTGTTTATACCGCAAGTGAATTTTTTTGAAACAAGTTTTATTTGGTCTTTTTGTTTCAATTTATGCTTTTTTAAAATAAGATTATATCTTAAAATTATTCTAGTTGTACTTTTTCTGTACTGTCTACATTCACTGTGACAAATACCCAGTCTGCTTCAGTTCCTTTCTGAGTCACAGACTACTGTTTTCACTGACATTGTTCCTCCTTAACTATGTAATTAGTCATAGCAACCAAGAGTCAAGAGAGTGATTACCAGCCAGTTATTAAAAATGTGATGAAGCAGATTGCAGACTACAATAAAACCATCATGGATGCTCTACACAATGCCAGCAGAAGCTGAGACTGATTGCATCTAGAAGCATCCTCAAGCATGCTAAAAAAAACTAGCTCCCCCTTGAAGAGTTAGACCCAGGTTTGTGAATGCCATGGTTTTGTAATCTCCTTGAAGGAGAGACATCTTGCATAGTAAATATTCAATA